ACTGTATCAGCAACATGGTAGAACACCATTGACGTCCGAAGTTAGTGTGCGAGGAACGATCCAACCGAGGATCTCCGAGTGCCGACCTGCTCGTCGGAGTTTGCGAAGACAGCCGCCATTTTGGACCCGCTTCAAATTTTAAAATGCGAATATCTAGAGTTTGGATTTATCAATTTTTAAACAAATTATATATTAAGCCTTTTTGGAAAGGCATCTATTAACCCTACTAATATAAAAGAAAAATATTGAAGAACAAAAAAGTTAGAAAATTCGAATTTTTAAATTCGCATCCAGTAACGACCGGAAGTACCGACGACGAACGAAAAGTCACGTCCCGGCTAGAATTTATCATGATCTATAATTCCTAAAAGTTTCACATTGATATCTTTAGCCGTTCTTGAGATTATCCCTGGACAAAATTTCATTTTAAAATCAGGAAATGGTCCATAACTTGGCACCGGATGTGATTAATGGAATTTACTCTCGGATAAAATAAATTCAGCCTACGACACGTTTTCCCTGCAAATTTCATGCCAATCCACCCAATAGTCTCCGAGAAATCGCGTGCACAAAATTAGAAAGTCAAAAAAATAATAATAAGAATAATAATAATAAGAAGAAGAAGAAACAGTAGAATCACTATAAGGTCTTCCGTGAAGACGGAAGACCTTAATAATAATAATAATAAGAAACAGTAGAATCACTATAAGGTCTTCCGTGAAGACGGAAGACCTTAATAATAATAAGAAACAGAGTAAAAACAATATGTTCCCAAACTTCGTTTGGGGAACATAATTACCTAGCTTTAGTTTAGTTTAGTTTCTTGTTTAATATGCGCCAGTTAATGATTTTCATAATGATTTTCATAATATTTATAAATTTTAAAATGAGTTAGGAAGAATTTCAGTTGTATTCAATGGCCACTCAATTTTCTGAAATTGTTACTGAATAAGTCAGTTCACTTCTTTTGATGTATGACGTTTTACAACACCTAAAGCAATACAAATACAGCAAGATTCAAAATTAATACTACAACAAATTCATAAAATTGAATACGCTACCTGTACTGATGTAATTGAGATCTTACAGAGGTATACACATTGAATCAAAATTTAAATTGCTACAGCAACAAATTTGTAAAATTGAATATGTCCTGATGTATGACATTTCACAACACCTTAGGCAACACACATATTTTAAAATTACTATTATATAATAAAATCATTAAATTGAATGTGCTACTTGAACACACCTTACTGAATGTAAAAGGTGAAGATAACAAACAGTGATCGTCTCCCTGGAAATTCCAGAGGTGGGATCAGGTGCCTAGGAGGAGTAAGCATCCCCTGTTGACCGGTCACAAACACCGTTAACCCTTTGTATTGATCAGGTAGAAGGAACATTCCGTAGTCAAATTTAGTATAAAAACAAAGGCCTAAGAATTGGTATGAAACAGTCAGCGAAAATACGACCCAGTGACAGGTTATCTTTGCTAACAAGGTCATTATAACGACCATAGAACTAACGAAATGCTGCCTTTAAACGAGGTTGTTAAAATCCCCGTATACGTACCATCAACTTATTTGACAGTAGCCTGCCTCGGTTTAAAAATTGATCGTCCTTGGAGCATGCCTTTGAGTATCGAATTAGTTGGAAGATGCTCTTGGGTATTTAAAAAGTTGGGAGATGTACACAAATACAGGTGATAGCGGGATATCACTATATAATAAGGAATTTTGACAATGGAAAAGCTGAAGTCATCTCGTTTGTCATACAATTTATTTGTTAGTTGGCCCTTATCGTCTATAGTCAGTAAAACATCCAAATATGAAACAGATGTGGCAGACTCTCTGGTCTCTTTTATTTCAAGTTCACTGGGATATATTCGATTCGACATATGAATAGAAGTAACTACTGTAGTGTTAATTGATTATGCGTCGTCGATATATCTAAATGTCGAGTTGAAGGCCACAACAAGTGTTTTCTTCTCATGTAGAAGTTTTTGAATAAATTCTGCTTTATAGGAATATACAAAGCTAGCAAAGGAGAACAATTAGTGGCCATCGCAATTCTCACAGTTTGTTGGAAGACCTAGTCTGCGAAGACTACATAAATATTGTCAATGAAGTACTCTAGCATCCTTTTAATATCAACTTCAGAGTACCTGTGTGTAGAATCATAGTGATTTTTTAAACAATATAAGTTGATGACCAATCACAAGATACGAAAATTTCCGACCTCCATTTTTATTAAAGAAGCGGTTGTCTTTGATATCAAAAAGCCTAGATTTTAATTTATCGTGAGGAATGGTTGTATAAAGTGTCGAAAGGTCGTTTGTTTTGATGTTACTGACATTTGAAAACTTTGGCTATTTTAGTTTTTTAAAAAGTTCTTTTGAGAATACACAACTGATTTACACCACTTCTAGAATATGCTGTAACACAGTACGTCTGAAGTTTCTCCTTTACAGCAGTTAATATTTTTGTAAGGAGTAAAGATAAGGGATTGGTTAAAGATTTGTTTGACCTGGCAATGTATCTCTGTAAGGATTTTTATGAAGTTCAGGAATCCAGTATAGAAAGGGTAGATAGAACTCACCTTAGTTGACTGGAATATTAAAAGTATCAAACACTGAATGTGCTTTTGACGAATTTCATGTTCAGAAAGACAACTGCTAGAATTCCAGACATAGAATTAAAACCAAGTTATTCTAAAATACAGTTATAATAATGAGATTTACAAACAAACACGATACTAATACAAGCCTTGTCGGCTGGAACCATAACATATTATTCATGTAGTCTTTCTAATTCTTTCATCGCCTCTGATTTAGTGAAAACAGAAGGATAGATAGTTTGCAAATTGTCTTTTAAATTTCTCTAAAGATTGTTTAAAATTAATCAATTTTGTATGGACATCTTTTTGATATTTTTTTAAGCAGCAAAGAGGCAATCTCTTGTCCTTCTTTAATTTTCTGCTAACCATAAGTATGACTGCACATAGGATAAGTTGAAGTGTACTCTACGAAATGAGCTACCGTGACCGTTATTTTAAGTTAAATTCATAGAGATCCACTCTCGGAATTAATCAAACTATCTGATTTGTCTGTACCATTTACATGTATTCTGAAAATATGGCCTTAAATTTGTTCGAAAGACGTCGGTCAGCATTCGACCTAAGGAAAGATTGTACAGTGTATTTGCAAACAAGGTTATTGTATCGACCATAGAATTTGCAAAATGTTGACTTTACACAAGATTGTTAATACCCTTTAATCATCAACATATTTGTTAGTAGCCTGGAAACAGAGAGTTGAAAATGATAGTCGTCCTTGTCGATCGAAATCTATTGTCATACAGAAAAATATAGATGCTGAAGGCAACATGATATCTGCACATGCAAGGTTTACAGTGATAGACATTTCTAAGACACTAAAAATTTCATCCGGAACAATTCATTTGATTCAGAGAAGGGAAATTAATCTGAATAAAATTGAAGAAAGATTGGGTGCCCCTTCTGTTTACAGAAGCCACAAGAAAACGAGCATTAAAATTGTCAAGGAACTGTGAAAAATTTTAACATTTTGACAAAAGAAAGAACGATTACCTTTTCATATGAGACGAAATATGGGTGCACTACTTTGAGGATCGATAATAAAATGTGGTTTCAAAGAGGGAGGCTTTGTCCTATTGCCAAGAGAAGCCAGTAGCTGCACACAAGCATAAAGATGTAAAGAAAATTGTGAAAAAAGAAATGAACAGAGCTTGACCATCCCCGTAAACACCAGATCTAAATTCTGACAAATTTTGATTTACAAAAATCAAGAAAATCTTGTACTAGAGCGTGCCTTCCACCTTTTCAGCGTCCTAAAGAAAAGCATGAGTAGAGAGACTTAGGCGTATGTAAAAATTTACAGAGAATTTTTCAGAAATTAAAAAAATAAAGAAACTTTTCTTTTTTTCTTCTTTCGTATTTTTTTATGAAATTTTGAATAACTGGTAATTATTGAACGCCCTAGTATAATTAATGCACTTTACAGAGGCTTTCATGAAATAAAATTGTACCATGAAATTTTTATTTTAAAAAAATAACTACGACGTCTATTCCGTATTTTTTTCAGATGACCCTCCACTCCGTGCTCCTACTCTTTTCTTGTCCCAAATGTTGGACACTAGTTCTGAGAATCTTGATAAAGTCTCTGTCAACGCTCTTGTAGAATGTGATGGCCACTGTAGCGAAGAACTGGGTCAGTGTTATTGGAGGAACACTAACGCTGACTTACGTTTCTAAAGATCATTACAAATCGTGCAACCTAGACTATACAATTGTTGTTTACAGTACTGTAAAGGAGAAACCACAACAGAAAAATTGGTCACTGATGACATCACAACTACGCGAATACCTTTGGTTACTATTGTCCCAAATCTACTTGTTCCAGCATCTAGCTCAGTAGTTACTGATGCCCCTGCTTCTCCATTTAATGTACTTACAGTTTGAACAACAACACTACAAACAACTAAGCACCACTAAACAAGTAAACTAATAGTACACACCTGGGTTACTCTGCCCACTGGATCTCAAAGACATTAAATAAACCAAAACTGTTTTTATGTTCTCAGTGCAGAGGGAATAATTTTTTATAATAAAGTATAATGGATCGTTTAAAAAATCTACGAGCCTTAAAAAACTTAAAACTCAGACAAAATTTCTAAATTCAGTTTTAATTAATCTCAATAATTCAAAAATTTTAAGTACATATTATGTATTTACCTGCAATTGTTCGATCAATAGTTATTATATATTCTATTTTAAGCCATGACTATAAAGGAAAAAAAAATATCATTTCTACTGTACAGGATTTTTTAAAAATATATAATTTATAATGCGAAGATCTGAATGCACAAAATATTATGAAACAACGTCGATAAGACAATGAGAACAGAGAAGATAAGACAACAGAACAGAATTTTGTCATACTTAGAAGGTCGGTATTGCAGGAAGTGAAGGGCTAATACACAAAATGGGTAGGAAAAGTAATGTACTTCTAAATGCAATCAAGCACCTTCATTAAGGCTTAAACTAAAACCTTTCCAAAATTAATCATAATTTTAAATTTATCAGCACAAAACGTTTCTACTATTCCGTTAGAGGAGATTGAAAAGCTAATTGTCAATGGAAAAAAAAATTATCTTGAAAAAGATGACTACTGCTAAATCATTAATAGAATTCAAGTGAACATCTCTGCTAAATTACTAATTAAATTCAGGTGAAAAATCTTTACATAACAGATACAAAGTCTGTGCTTCTCCTAGTGATATTGATGTTTGTCAACAGAGCAGTGGGAGGGCTGTTAAGCCTACAGTTATGTCACTCCCATTGTAACATAGGAGAAGTAGACTGTCTTCTACAGTGCCCAACTATCCTGTGTGAGCAGGACTGCACCAGGGCTGAACGGAGGTGTGTGGAGCTTTGCGATGCTGAACACACCACAACCCAGCAAGTGATGACCGTAGATCCCAACATCTTGACAACTAAGACACACATGCACACAAAAAGTACGACAGCAGCCCCCACTACAAGGGAGACGCCCACCCCATCAACAGTGTCAGGGACCTCAGAAATAAAACCCACCCCCAAGCCGCATCGTCCACCCACAACTACAACTGAAGTCATCACCACAACTGAGGATAAAAATGGAGTTGTCATTATTGGTTAATTAAAACAAATTTATCACATTAATCTTTTGTTTTCCTGAATGCTTGACCATATACATGAACATTGTACATGTATATACAGTGTGATACATGTACCCACTCTGCCATGTTGCTACATGGGCAGTTTTAACGAAGTCAACTGGAAATCAGCCCGTTAGGGTTTAAATTATGAAATGATTCTCAAGAGTGGATACAATAGAGTATGGAGCAAAATGTATAAACTAAAAAAAAAATAACATCACCAAAACAAGAATTCACATCTAAATTCATCATTTTGTTGTCATCAAAACATTTATGGATGGAAATTGTCTTTTGGGGTAACAATGTACATATTGCAAATTTGCTAAGCAACGTTTCTTAAATACAAGATGCAATTACATGTATCTTACATTGTCTCTGAAGCTTTAAATGACATAAAATATACTAAATATTGTTATATATATTCTTACAAGTATTTTTCTATATAAAATTCCAAGAAGTTAAATGTTTTGTGATAAATAATTTCTGTGATATAATAATTTAATGATTCATTTTTTTTTTTACTTTGTTATTATTTTATTTTTTTATAAAGCCAACATTTTGCTTATAGAGTTATTGTTTAAATTTTGATTTAAATCTATTCAGAAGTCGTCACTCTAGTGTTTTAATATTATGTATATATCTTAAGTGAAAGGTATAACAAAACAGACCTTCAGGTCCAAGAAATCACATGTTGCCCTCATACCCAGTCTGAAACTGTATAGTAAGTAAATGAAATATTTATAAGATTAACTAAGTGGTGATTAAATTCTGAGTATCGTTACTGTTTCGTTTAGAAATCCTCGTGGAAGTTCAACTAAGAAGACTGTTTCAGTAGATTTACATGTATTTGAAGTTGACTGAACAGGATAATATAGTTGCGGCTTTTCGGAGGGTACTGTGCTTAAAACTGGTGTTCTCTTTAGTGGTTATTTGATAGCTTTTAGGATTCCATTTTTGAGATTTTTAATATTTGAAAAATTGACTTAAAATTTAGTAACTACTCTGTCCTTTCAAACAGAACATCGAGTTTTGAATTTTCTGTATCAAGCTTGCTTGTTGTAATCTTTAATCCCTATGTCACAGATGAAAATGTACCATTGAACATTTTGACATTTTTACTCTAAATATTTTCACAATCAAATTAGCCATGAGTGATACGACCAGATGGACTGTTTTGAATTACTTAATCAATATTGTTTATTTAAAAATATAATCTTTAACTCTACTTGTAAATCAAATACATTTGATTCATGTCATAATTATGTTACTCAAGTTTGTCAATTATCAGTCATGTCTTTAAATACAATTTTTTGTTAACATTCGGGGAGTTGGAATCGGGACGTTGTCCTTGATACTGTCCGAGAAATAAAGGTCTGCAAATCGTAAGGCGGTTTTTATCTTATTACCAGTAGTCCACCCCAGTGGCTTTGCGACAAGCACACGCATCTAAAGCGGGGGTGTGATACCAACCTATGCCAAGGTTATAAAGATTAATTAACCTTTCAAACGACAAAGACCAAAAGATAAATGAATAAGGGATATCACATTCTGCAACTTGTTGGCAAATTTAATTCTAAGACAAGAGAGTGACTGGTTCGCGACGATAAATATCGGCAACCTTTAGTTGTTCGCGAATCTCGTGCGCGTTTAAATGTTGGTTAGGCCATCTTTAAAAAAACTGTTTGGTTGTCCTCTCCCAACCGACTGGCTAAAAATGGTCCGACTCCAAACTTTTTTATCCTCCAGAAAACAATTATTTTTTTTTTTATACATTCAGGACAATAGATTTGGAAAATTCAGCATTAATGATGAAATCTTCTGAGAAAAAAAAATTTCCCACCTACCTACCAACACAATTTTTTCATCCTGAGTAGAGAGAAGGCAAACAAACATTTACTTAATGTTGGCCTTATCGTACAGAACCAATCAATTCTACTAAAAATAAAGTATTTACTTTTATGGTGAAACTTGCAATAGAGATGTGGATCCCCGTCCCACAGTATATCCTCTTTCCACCTATGGGTTCTTCATGTAAATTCCTTCACACTTGTCTTGCCCTACAACACACAAATATACAACTAAGAAAGGCTTGACTAAGAAATTATCAGACTTTTTAATTAATCAAGTAAATCCATCCAATTCAAAAGATATTTTCTCTTCTGTAACACTAATTTCTATGCAGTTTTTGGAGACTACATGTAGGTCTTTCAATAGTCTGTTGGAATTTTGATGGGTAGTAATTGTGCGGTTTATTAGCCAACTTTTTTTTTTATTTTCTTATGAAGAATTTTTTTCAAGAACTTCTACATAAAAAAAACTCTGTTGCAGCCTTCAACGACATTTAAATACTAGCATATCGACGACGTTGTCTCAATTAAGGATAAATAACACAAACATATTGAACTTCTTGGTTTTCAAATATTGCTCTGAAATATTTGAAAAAATAAGCAAAACTTGTTAAAATACTTCAACCATGTTAACTTCCGTGAGGAGCATAGGCCACTGACAACACCTTTCCACCTCCCCCCGTCTTGAGCTAGTGTTTCCAGTTGGTGCCACTTATATCCTCCCCTCTCCATCCCTGCCACTACACTCCTATGCGCGGTGTTCTTTGTCCTCCCCCTACGTTGTTTCCCCTATGGGCTCTTCAGACTGCCTCATAGTGATGGAAGTTCTTGTCTTTTTTAATGTGTGACCAATTCATCCCCTTCATTCCCCAGATTCTATCAGGATTTGGGTTGTTCTTTCCTATAAGTCATTTTGGATCTTCTCTGGCCATCTAATGTTCAAAATTCGCCTTATGCAGCTGCTAATGAAGACTTTTAGCTTTTTATAAGCCTTTGGTTGTTCTCCAGGTTTCTGATCCATAGAGCTACATAGCTTTGATGTTGAAATTAAAGAATCTTATCTTCTAATTTAGTTTAATCTCATCATTTACCAATATGTATACTTGTCATCATCCTCCAACATAACTGATTTCTTCATAACAAAAGTTGTTCATTTTTAAATACACAACTGTATATGTAAATACCTTGCTATATATTTAAATATATTAATGTTAAACCCTTCCTCTCTTCAAGGATTTCTAGGTTTCTCTTAATAAACTGATGGAGGAATTCTATAGGTGTTTACTTTTTTTTTTTATAAATTCAATTATTAACAGTATCAACAGCCCTCTATTTTCTTGGCTATTTTCACATCTTTTAAGAGTTTAAAACTGAGCCATAAATAAATTTACAAAAATAGCACACAAATCATTTTATTGCAAAATCAAGATGATGATAAAAATTATGAAAATCCATTTAAATATCTTACATCATTTAATGCTTTTTAAACATAAAAAAATATGGTTACTTCTACAATATTTCTGAAATGATTTGAAACTGTTTTTTAATATGCTTACTTAAAGCTGCTCTGTATTAGATTCACATTTTATGTCAATCATGAAGGAGGGGGGTGGGGTTGGGGGTCTAAAAATGACAAGAATGCAATACCATGAGATTCTGTACAAAAAATATATACTGTTAATGTAGAAAAATTACATACATTGCTGAAATGCGTATAAAATGACATTATTCCCCACAGATAGCAATCTACAAACTATGTTCTCGCGACTGACAATTTAGGAATTCTATCCTATTTATAAAAGTGACTAAATTTAAGTGATTTTAGGATAATTTATATTTTGTGATTGAATTCTTGTCATTTATTTTCAGTGCTGTCCAGTCCATTGCTATAAATGCCAAAACTTGAAGGTCCCTAAAAATTGCTGTAGTGGGGTGTTCAATTGCATTGATTTTGACAGGGAAGGGGGCTCGACTTGACATATATGAAAGAACACTAAGGGGATACTGATTTAGATAAGTTTTCATTTTTACTTTAAAACATACTTCAATGTAGTGCTTATATATATTATACATATAGTTGCACATTCACTGTATATCTACTATCAACTTCAATTTGTCAACAGTGTACAATACACATCATTGCTGTCATAAACAAGTTCACGGTATCCAGATGACAATGTCAGACTGGCAGTGAATTCTACTGCCATGGGGGATTTGAATTATCACAGATCCTAGAGACATATCCTGTCCTCAATGAGGGAGGGTTTTAAGCACCATATGTTCTGTTTCATTTACAAGTTACAGGCTTGTTAATAAATTAATGATGCAAATGTCTATATGCTTATGTCAAAATTGAAACATGGAATGCCACAACATGGAATAAAGCTGTACATTAGAAAAAAATTCACAACCTGATATTTGATTGACCTCTTAATTTGAAACAAAAGTATGAAAGAAAAATCATAGTGATGTAATTGTCTGACAAAACTCAAACGTCAAGTTTTGAACAATCTCTTTGGAATTGTCACTAAAGTAATCACTAGTGGTGTCTGTTCTCTCCCCAGCAGGGGGATATGTGTCCAGCAGTGAAATGCTTGGATCCAGATGTATATGTTCCCTTTGGATTTCCATAGAATGACGATGAGATTTATCCAATGTATTGGAGGGACTTTCGTCATGGATTTCAAAATATTCATGATTTTTGTGACTAGGATGAGGAGAACTAATGCTGTTACTCCTGGGACGACCCAGAATTGCAGGAACAAATGTCTTAATGGTATATTTGCTTGGAACTTTTCCTCCCTGACTTGCCCCACTGAGTCTTTTGCCATCATTAGAAGCTGTAGACAATCTATTTAACAATGTTGTGAGGTTGAATGAATTGGCTTTTGTTATCGTATTGTGCTGCGACGATGTCAGAAGTTCGGCATCTTCTGTGTCCTCCACACTTGTTGCAGGAGCATCTAAACAAGGTATGAGAAAGTCTGGCTGCTTCAGCAACTGGTCAATAATGTCACCAGTGTCCGGCCTATCACAGGGTTCATAGGCCAAACAGCTGTAAATAAATGTACACAGTTCATCAGGACACTGCCGTGGAAGCATCAGCCGAGATCCTGCTTTGACATACTCGACTACTTGGCTGTTAGACAAACCCTGATAAGGAAAACTACCAAATGTCACAATTTCAAACAGGAGAACTCCGTAACTCCACATGTCAGACTTGGCTGTAAAGAGGCCGTCCGACAGACTCTCTGGAGACATCCATCTCACCGGCAGCATGCCTACAGATCAACAGACAAAATCAGGTTAAAAAAAAATATGTCTACAATGTAGGATGCAATTCTCCTTCAAAATTTGAATCATAAAAGTAGTTGATGCATATAATAAATTTATTTTTAGTTTTACCTTTCTTCGTAAATCTGTAATAATCTGACTCAATGATTGGGCGAGTCATGCCAAAGTCACCAATCTTCACTCGGCCACTGGAGTGAACCAAACAATTCCTACAGGCCAGATCTCTGTGTAATAAAATAAATATATTACTTACAGAAACAAAAGTACTCATTCATTGTGAAAATAATATATCAAATAGGTTTCCCCCTAAGACAGATCTGTTGCTAAATATTTAAACCATTTAACGTATATTATAAATACATGTACATCCTTTGTCTCTAAAAATCAGTTACTATTGCAAGTGTCAAGAAGCAGTTGCATGTGTCTGACCACAAAAAATTGAACTGCTTGGTATGTTCAAGTTGAACTTCTCCTGGCTTCTGAGCACATATTTGAAAATATTAATGAATGACAAATATATGACTGATTTGACTCTATTGCTAATTTTTTTCATCTATTAGTCTTGTTTTAATACCTGTGAACATATTTTAGGTCATGGATATATCGGAGACCACATGCAATATCCAGGGCCATCATGGTGAGCCTCTCGGGGCGGATCTCGTCAGCTTCCTTACACTCCAGACCCACCAGGTTACGACGGGATAATAAATATGTCTTCAGGTCACCTGAACACATTGTTTAATTTAAAGTACTGGTACATTTAATTCTGAGTTCTAAGGACTAAATCTATTAAAATCTGCCTTTACATACAACTGATAGTAAATAAATGAAATTTTTGTTTAATGAGAACTTGGTATGACCTTCCGGAGATCAGAATTAGTCTTACCATACAGGTGAAATTCCATGATTGCATAGAATGGCTCCCCTCTAGTGCACACTCCTAGTAGTTGTACAATGTTAGGATGATGGAATCTCTTCATTATCTCAGCTTCACTCAAAAAGTCAATCTGTTGATGATTTTTTTCATTTTAAATGCAATTTCATTGTCTTCATCAATTGAGTTGCCCAAAATGTAAGTGATTTACATTAGATTCAAAAGAAAATGTAACAAAATGAAAACCAGACTTAAAAAAAAATTAAGCATTGTTTATCTGTTAAAGGATAATATTTTATTATAAAGAATGTTACCCAGTATATAATGCATACCTTTTCTTCAACTCGTGATCCAACTTTGAGAGTTTTGACTGCCACAGCTACCCACAGTTCATTATCCTGGTATGCCTCCCCACCAAATACTGTGCCAAAAGCCCCCTCTCCCAGCTTCCTGTTCAGCACCACTTTGTCTCGAGGCATCTCCCACTCATCCAAAGTAAAACATTTGGCAAAATCATTGGGCAGTAGCCCGAGCTCCTTCATACGGTCATGTGTGCTGCGCATCTTTACATCATACCTAAATAAAATTATAACTTACTTTTTGGGGTTATAAAAATTAAACAATGACAAGAATACTGAGAATCTCATTTTTCTATTCACTAGAATTTTATTTTTGTGTAAATATGTGAGATGGTCTGCTTGCGAAAATCTGGGGATTTTTAAGATTATATACAAAAACAAAATTAGTGATTTCTTTTTTCTAGTGTTTAAAATTTTGGTGATCTAAATATACGTGTAGCATCAACAAGTTAGAAAAAAAAACATCCTAAAATTCCTAATAATATCATGAATGGAAGTGCCTGCACATTACAAATATATCTACAAAATAAAATGTCAGTCTAACATGATCTGTTCATTTTTATTATTCATGCATGTTTATTCGTAAACACTGTAGTACAAGCATCTTACTGTGCCAAGAATAGGTTGTACAAAGGTAAGCACAATTCTTTATAGAAGACACAAAGGCAGAAATTGCTGTAAATGAGATGAGGAATGATACATATAAAACTGACCTGTACTTTATGAAGGCTATGACAACCAAAACCAGGATGATGAGAAAAGCAAACCCAATGACATTGGCTATAACAATGGCCATCTCACAAGTAACTCCAACAAGCTGTCGGAAGTTCTCTATCACACAGTGTTTAATCACTTAAAATATAAAAATATTATACAGAAACAAAAAAAATCAGATGTGACATTCAGCAATACATTCATTTAACTACATTGTTACAGTATTTTCATCCTTTTTTAGACATTTTTCAGTTTCCTTCAAGAAATAGCAGCACATTTCACCAGCTCTGGATATATGTAGCTTTAGGCATATGTAACAAAATGTCCATATATGCCAAAATTTTAACAGTTAACACATTAAGCTAGAATTTTAAAATTTTTTGCTTGTTGTAGATTATTGCTTGGCATACCTTTCCTCCCATCAGTTGGGGGCTCTCCCCCCGGAGTCAGCCACTTGATTTTGGACATGTCCAAGAGGAGTTGTCCCCCTTTGGAAGAGTGACCTGGTTCATAAGAGCCTATCACACAGGTGCCATTGTGGAAGAACTGCATGACATTGATATTGCTCTGGCGGTCACTTCCCTCAAAGTGGACATCTCCTGATGCCCCCCTGAAGTTAGTCTTCCCAATACTGTCAACCAAAAGCCTGTAAATGTACACATACATACTGAAATTTAGAATTTCTCTTTTCAGTTAATAGTTGATAGCAGCAAAAAATCTCAGTGACTATAGTATACACACCTTGTGTTCTTCTCTGAGTGTAAATGTTTGACAGCACTGGGATCTGATTCTAATAAGGAATGCAATGCTGAGGCATACACCCATACTGCATCATATACAAAACTGGCAAATGAACTTGATGTTACGCCCTAAAAGGAAATCATGATTTTAAGACAACATAGACATATTATCAAATTAAATTTTTAACAACAGTTCAATAATCTGACAATTCTAATGAGAAACAAAGGTACTGAAAGACTCTCAATTGGAAGGGCATGTTCATCAGAAGTGAGCAAAACAGTCATCTATATCCTATATATTATATACACACTGTTACAAAAGCTCTACATAATAATGTTAATTTCACTTACTGCAAATACCAATTTTTAACTAGAATTTTCAAGTAAGGACCTCTGGTAAAACAAATAACTTCAGTCAAGTGAGTAAGATGCCAGTTAACATACTGATCTCATACAGTCTAGAACCTGTGACCCCCAGGCACTGCCTACCTCATCACTAATCTGTCTGGTGTACAGCTGTTTGTATTGCCCCACTGTCAGATTACCAATCACCAGAGATTTAATGGACCCAGAGAAAGTCTTAGACAGCATGAAATGTCCGTCCACAGCATATCTCATCATTCCTGTGTCACAGGGCACCACGTCCTGGGGATAGACCCTCTTATTGTGGTAATCTACGTCCCACCAGTCATGTTCATACCAGCCTGGGAGGAACCAAACATATCCCTCACGGGCAGTCATTCTCTGAAATCAACAAGAAACATATTTATATGTACTTCAGTTCCAGTGCATAAGGTATAAAACATTTGTTTCTACTGTGTCAACATTAAAAATAAAGATATTTAACATTTCTTTGAAACTTATCAGACTTTTATGAATATGAACCATTTTAAAAATGAAATAACAGTCTAAATAGTATATCTACATCATATAACTGATTTAATTAACTTTTACTGTAGTCTTTACTTGTATTTGGGGCCCTGCACCATTAGAATAAACTAAACTGAAAGTTTGGACTTTTAGTAAGCAGTGCATGTCTGCCTAAGTTTGTATAACATCTTACTGCTTAAATCTATGTCACATACATTTATCTTGCATACATGTAAATGCAAATTCCAGCAATGTAAAAGTGGGGCAAATATTATTTAAAGTTTAATTGATGCATAGAGCCTCTCTTTCAATGAAGGGGTAATGCTGACATCATCTTGTTTTTCAACAAAAGCAGACAGTCCAAACTATCATTAAAATTGTCCTGAGAGCTCCTTACCTGTTTGTAAGCTTCGCACATGATCAGTCTGGCTGTACTGGGAAAGAAATCAGCGATAATTATCCTTACATCTGCAGATCTTAAGTCCGCAAATACCTGAGGAGAAAGTAAACAAATGGTAACTTCTGAAAACAGTTCTACAACATATAAATATCTGAATATTTTACACACATCATGATCACATTAAAGAATAAAGAAACCCTAAATCATAACTATTCTAATAACCTGGGAGAAGTCAGTTTTAGAGTTGACAACTTTGACATTTTGTTTGACAATCATGTTGATTCCATGAAGTTTGAAGTAGTCTTGTAGTGTAACATGATACTCTGGGAAGTGTTGAGTCCTTTCTGCCAAGGCTCCGATCTGTTCCCAGTCCATCTGGGCAAACATCTGCTGGTAGATGTACCTGAACAAAAGAATCTCAAAAATGTAAATTTAAAAAATTATATTCAATTAAATATTTTTCTGGGATGTGTACAGATACAATAATGAAAAATTCATATTACAGAGTACCTAAGTCTAATTTTCCTTACTTGTGTTGTCCTGCATTTGGAATTGTTCTATAAAAGTAGGGGTAGGTAACTCTGTCAGATAAAGATGGGGATTCAGCTCCATAACTAACTGTCAACATATGAAAATGTTTGGAAAGGGAGGCAATAGGTTCCGCTTCATCTGAGCAGGCAGGGCCTACAATTAACACATAATAATCTCAACACACTATGACATGCCATGAAAACTTGACATGAATTTAACATTTCTTGCATGAACTTAAGATTTTTTTTTGCTTACCTAATACTCCTGCAATAGGACCAATATTGTCATTCTGAACGTATTTGATGAACTCTTTCATGGCTACGTCTGCTTTACACTGACTGTTGATGTAATGGATCTGGAGATCATACTTAGGAAGCACTGTACTGTCCTGATTAACTCTACTGATAGCCAACTCTGCAGCTACAGGCATCAAAAAAGTATTTCAGAGAAATTGTTTAAACATTGCCAGAGGCTAACAACAAATGCATTTGAGAGAAATTGTAACTAGTCCAATGCTTCTACTGCATGTAGATTCCTTAATTTATTAAGCTTAACTTAATATAGTTTCAATTTTCATTAAAGGTTACATTTACTGGTAATAGTTGACCATGTTATAATGTGTACTCAGATATACAGTCAAACCTCGTTATCTTAAACTCGATGGGACTGAGAAAAAACACCGAAATATCTGAGGGTTTGAGATATTGAGGGTAAAATACTTAAGAAATATGTGGTAAGGTCTTCCCAGTCACTTCAACATATTCATGGTATTCGAGATATCTGTGTTCAAGATACCAAAGTTCAACTGTATATCATCACAAATGAAAACAAAATTTCAATAAATAATCTGCGAAACCAACTTTTAAATATGCTTTAAGTTGGAAAGTTCATCTGCCATTTGCACGAGAAATAGAGTAACATTCTTTGATAATGTTAAAAGATGAAACCAGTATGGTTAAAAAAAATCAGGATATTTAATGACTACTGATGTTAAAACTTTCTATCCATTTTTGCTGACTCCCTGCCTTCAGCAATGATTTTTCAATAGTTGACTACTTTTGTAACAACTCTAATCATCATTTATTTATACAAAACAAGAGGCTGTTGTCAATTTTAAAATTACACACATACCTGCTTTTAATCCAGGTTGTTGCCACTGCCCACCAGTAAGTGGAAACATTCCTAGAAGAAAAATTCGGGGTTTGTGGGAAAGGTCAGGAGGTATCCATGACCTCCAAGTCACCTCATTGTCTTTCAGCCAATCACAAGCCACCTTTTCTGTAGATAACTTTTTTGAATAAGCTTTAAGGAGGTACTGGTATTGGTGTGGAGGAAATTCTAACTTTGAGATCACATAAGCTGCCTCAGGTATGTTCACTTTAATTTTCTTCCAAACAAACTTTTCAAGGTTTCTCCACCTAAATTCACATCCAGCCGTAAGCTGATTGTCTTTGGGAACACATGAGGGAAGACGAATACTGGTTAGGTTGTAGGATGCTGTCAATGGATTGGGCTCAAAGTCAAAGAACAGAACTGGCAGTTTCTTTTGTAGTCGATCGGAGATAAATGGGAGAAAGTTGTCTCCAATCCAGGCAACAATAAGGGGGAGGTCCAGTTTCACAATCAAGGACTTCAGAATGTCTGCATCATATTCTGAAAGTACAGAAGCTGGGAATACAAAAATTGCTTCAGAACAATGAAATCTTTCATGCAATGTGATAACTCCTTCACATCACTGAATTACATGTACATGAAAGTGAGGAATGAGAGATTAACTTAATTGGTTATCATACAGAACAATATTCAATAACTTAATTACCTGGATATGTTGAAAACAATACAGAGCAGTTTTCATGTTGGTTGTCACATGCTGGTCCATAGTATAATCCACCATGACAGCCAGATTCACAGAAATGTTTGGGATTATCACTGTTGTCACTAGAAATTGTTAGGTTGATCAAAGATGAAAACTTTGACTTGTAGGAAAATTTTTCTATGACCTCTGGTATGAACAGTGACCTCCAGTGGTCACCTATGACCTTCTGCTTCCATAAGTCATCCACAGTGTACCAAGGGAGGAATATTCCAAGCCTACAAAAAAAAACAAACATTTAAAATCACAAAACTAGTAGTTCAAAATGTAAAACAAGAGTTGTCTCCCTATAAAAACTACAAGTCTCCTGGTTTTCAAAATTACCAAAATAGCATTTAAATGTACATGAATGAAAAGTTTGATTAAATATTACAAACCTAGCAAATGGTCCCAGTTGACCCAGATCAACTACATGTCTAGAGGAGGTCCATTTTCCTGTGTTCAGCTCTGAGGTGACAGGTACCTCAATATTAATCATAGATTTAGGTACCATCTGATTCCCACTACTAGAGCAGCTAAAATTGAACATGAATATGGTTATAATTTTAATGTAGAAATGCTAGGAAGACCTTTCTGTTAATCTTTTCTATTTTGTTGATTGAAATGCTGTGTATAACATAGAAAATATAAAACATGGTATATGTAAAACATTGACACTTGCAAACTGTCATTTGAGACTTCATAAATTAATATTTGTTATGTTAAGATCCAGTTCCTATTTGAACTTGTTCAGAAAATTTCATCATTCATCAAAGACACCTGATAATTATTAACATATTTCATTTATAATTAAACTTACTCTGTACACCCTTGTAGTCGGTTGAGGACCACGGTAGAGTTATAGGTGTGGCTGTGTTCCTGTTGAACCTCTACCCTACTGTATCCCACCACCTCCTGGAGGAGAATCTTCAGTACGTTGTTAACGATGTCATGGGAAACCCGACCACTGCTCTCCAGCATAATAGTCAGACTCCGGGCATTGTAGTAAAATTGTCGCTTCTCTGCCACTTCTGGAAAGTTGAAAATTTGAAAACCGTTCAGTAAAAGGCATGAAATTTCAATATGTGAAAATAAATCAATTAGAAAGATAGAGAGATACTGGTGTATATAATGTTATCTGTATCCATATCTTAAAGCTTGAAATGTTCATGTATTATCAAAGTGAAACACTGAAAATATATGTCAAAAGCAAGTCCTCTCTACTACACTCTTAGATAGCAAATCACTCTACATCATAACAAACATGCATCCCATAAATCAAACCTTCAGATTTGTTCCAATTTCAGAAACAAAAACCGATTTATGACACAGTCATATCCTTGCACAAAAATATACTTATTTTATTACAAGACTTTTCATCAGACTAAATTTTCTAGAACCCTTTTCTCCTGTTAAATCTCAAATCCCTTCCCTAACTAACAATAAAATAATGGTATAGTATTTTAATTGCACATTTCAAACATACTTATTTGAATTTCACTTCATGATAATTCATATATTTTTTTAAACAAAAACTTAAATGTTCATGTTAACTTTTAAACTCATCAACCCTCCCCAGACATCTTTTCACATATTAAACAGACAGAAACTGGTACCTGTAACATTGAGACATTTTGTTTGTCCTGAAGCTGGGAGTAGAGAGGCACACAAAACCACACAGAAACAAACAGGCAGGTAAGCCATCAGATCAGGTCATCCAGGCCCCCTCATTCTGCTATAAATCTCCCTCCCCTTAGAAGGGGGGTCTTTGGAAAAACATTCACACACATTGGCTGAAAAATAAACAAAGATTCAGTTGTTAAAAAATATACATACTGTCAACAAGCATGACATATTATTCCAATAAAACAGACCAAAATGTCAGTCAGTTTGTAGCCTTGTTACTGTACTGTATGTACCCCCACAATGAACTCAAAATTGAGACAAACTGGGGCCCATAATTCTCTTGCAACAGTTTAACATGCAATGTTTCACTAAACAGATCAATGTGCATTGAAAAAATTCTACCTGGCGCAGCCAGTTTTAATTTGTTAGCTGGCATACTAAGTTAGAAAATGCCATAAAAAAGGTTCCTGCAATCTAGATAAGGATTATTTTCTGTGTGCACTGACAGGTGTGCAGGTACCTCCCTCTTTGTGCTTGTGCTAGCTTGAGAACTCTTGCCTCATTGATTTGTCACCAAGATCTGAGCTAGGAGAAAATGAAATGTAGACTTGTTTTCCAGTAAAAACAGTCAATGTGGACTCTTTTGAGTGCTGCAGCTTATCATATCCCCCTATTCACAAAGGAATGATACAAATCTATGTATTAATCAGAAAATCACTTGATTTTGCCGTTAACCTGTCGACTGGGATTAAGCTGGGGGAGTGTTTAAACTGGGTGTCCCCATACGATGACACACCACGATATATTAAACACAGTTAACCGCCTGATTACTTAATCTGATATGTTTGTTTAAAAACAATGTACGTGTTTGCACAATGGAAAAGAAATCTTAATGGTCCTTCATGGCTGCAATGTGAAACTTGTGTCATGGTAGTGGATAACCATAATAAAAAAAAATTCAAATAAAAATCTTTGCAGATTTCAACCCAGGGTCCACAAAAATAAATAGAAGAGCATTAAAAATGTTTTTCAACCTGTAATCAAAACCTTTTCATACAACAAGTTCATGGGAAATATGGTCATGTTCTATCAACATGTCTCAAAGCAAATGAAAGACATACTCTTTTCCATTTTTAGAAATTTCTGTGCAAATAAAATCTTTTGAAATGAAATAAAATCTTTTTTCAGCATAACTTCTTCTCTCACACAAAAGAAAAAAATATTCATCCTTTTAGTCTAAAAATAAAATTTTTCCCTTTCTTGTGAATTGCTACATTTCCACGGCTTTTAATAACGCACAACTAAAGAAGTTAGGGACCTTTTAAGTAGAGGATAACATATCACTGTCATTTAATACAATCTGTAAAACACGGCTTTGAATGTACATGAGAACAGAATACATACATATCAGAAAACACCTGTTGCAGAGAGGCAATAAAACCATGCAATTACAAAACTTCTCTGATGGACAGCACAAAACGGACATTGACGAGGTCTCACCTCTGTCCTCTGGTCATCTGGGGCTTTATTTACCTGGGCTGGACTTTATGCGACAATAGCAGGTGATGACAAATAATATATACCTGTGTGTGATTTAATATTTATCTAATAAACAACTCATGTCAATACGTCAAGTGAAAAAATCCTCACATGTTCCCAGTATAATCAGTCACAATCCAACAGCTCCGTGTCTGGCGAATTCCATATAATCCAACAGGAATGTGTAAGCCATGCACAAACAAACACACTACAAAAGTTGTACTGACTTGTCACAGTAACTAGCTCAATTAATGTTCTAACGGTATTAAATACTTGTATGCACATTGTCATACATTTAAATCTCCACTAATATTTCCTTTACACCTGTTTATTAAATATACAATCCACACATAATGAAGCCTTGTGATTAATCTTCCTTTGAAATCAAATTTTTATAAAAGGTATACATACAATACTGATTCATACAAAAGAAAAGACTACACAGTACACCTGTGCAGAAATGTACAGTTATCAGTCACATGTCACGGGTAACTCTAAAGGTCCCATCCTCAACCCATCCACAGTGTTAATTCCTAATCAAACTAATTAATCCAGTGCAATAAGGTCAAACTACAAAAGAACTGTGCACCTACCTGAGGGTTCTTGATGACAAATGCTTCAAAGGAAAAATACCTCAGTGTTGTGAAAAAGGCACTACTGTACAGGTATAAATTCCATCAGAGATAAAGGTCGGAGATATCAACAGGGATTTAAAAGTCCCCTCATATTCTCTACTCAGCCAAAAAACTGCAATCTTCAATCCATCTTCTTACTTCAATTTTCACATAAAAATCTTCCAAACACTGCCATAAATGTAAAATCTTCCTATCTGACCTTATTTGACATGAGCTGGTCTATAACACACTAGCAATATAGCATGGCACTGTTCTCGGGAATGCGAACAATTTTATTTCCCCCTTCTTTTCAGAAATCAAATATTCCCATCGGTACACATCAAAGCAATTGCCACAAATAAAATAAATGTATGGAATAAAAGCTGGATATGTGTGTGGGTTAACGGGAAAGCAAGAGCCCGCCTAGAAGTTCTTCATTGTGCCTTGTTTGGAAGGCCTCCAACCTTAGATTTAAATCTTTCTGTCTCAATCATAAATACCCAATTGTAACAATCACGCCCCAGTCTGTCTATCCGTGGAGATCCCACAGAATCTCTAGTCCAATTTAAATTTTATGGAATGGACCTTATATACAGATTTAATTGAAGAAAAACTTTTAATTCCTTTTTCAAATGCTGGTATCTGATTTCTGTGAAAGTGATAAAGGAAATGGATGTGATCAATTTAGTTTAACTGAAAAATTGATTGACGTCATTACTTTGTGTCCATGTTGAGTATGCAAGGTGAAATGTAAATTAGTTTCTACTGAAAATATATATCTTTGAAAAATAACAATCAATGATTCATGCAAGCACATAGGGTGCATGTCACTAGAAAAATTTAAAGAAGTCTTTTTTTTAGGTGAACAAAAAAACCTTTATATTTTCTCATACATCAACAAAACACCCCATTTTAACAGTATTAATTAAAATCCTTACCTTGATATGCCTATAATGATTATAGAAGACAGATGATTAGGAAGTGAAAATAAATCAAAGTTAAAGTGTATATCGATTAATTTATTACAAGTAGGCAATTTCATTAATGACATGCATAATGTGTTAGAAAAATGGGGGTGGGGGTTCTTAATTGACATTTTCCTTGAAAATAAATTAAGTTTTAATTAATATTTTTCTTTAATCTATTACACCTTGGTATATTAGAGTCTGACATATTTTTATTTTTGGTCAAATAACATTCCCTGATATCTTTATGATAAAATATAAGAACTATACAATTACAATAAGACTGACGCAGGTAGTAATTTCAAATTGATACATTAAGCATTCAGATAGTAAATATTGAAAAATTTATGAAGAACTAAAAAAATTATTCTATGGAAACAATTCTTGTTAGGCCATGTTTCTTATTTCCTGCTACCAGCCTGAAAAAAAAAGGGTAGGTAGGTAGAAAATTATTTTATCTTATTTTTTTTTTTTTTTTTATTTTTTTTCCGATGGCATTTTTTGGATATGAACTAATACAAGATCAAATTAAACATGTCACAGGTCAATATTGTCTTTTAAAATTAAATTTCATGTCTTTTGATGCACAATTCAAGTGGTATTTTATGAAAGTCCATATTTAAAACATAGAATTTCATGAAATGCTTGTTTTGTGCTAACACGGAAACTGATTACAGTGACAGAACAATGACATTCCGGAAATTCCCAATTTGTTTCTTCTTCCAAAACTAAAAAAAACTTAAGGGTCGGGTGCAAAAAAATAGGGTCGGTCGGGTAGCAGGAAACAGGACTATTATTTTTTTTTGTTCTTATCAATTATTATGCAGAAAACTAGGTGAACCTTAAAATCTATAAAGATCCCATATTCTGTTCTTGATAACTTGCTTGTGTATAAGGTCTGATGACTATCAGGTAAACAGTACAGAACTTATTACATGTGAACAAGTAGACTGTACAAAATTATTTGATGTGGGTATATACCATATACCAGGAAACCAATGGACTTTTGATTTTTTGGACCAGAAAATCAATAGTCATGAACTTGTGTACATGGTCTGATCACTATCAAACTGTTCTCAAGATATTGGTTTGAAAATCATTTGATGTGGGTTTAAGCTATAAAATCAGGTGATATTTGACCTTTTCAACCATGGAAACATGGAAATCAGTAGGATCATCTCAATGGTCAAGTAAGGTATAAAGTTTCATAGCTATCAAGTCAGAAGGAGGGGGGGGGGGGGGGTTAAAATCTGATTCAGAAACAACTTTTCTATCAACTGACCAGCGCAAAGCATTATTACTAACATATAACTTCTGTATGTTTCACCCTTGTTCAAATAATATCAGCATCATTATCATTTTTACCTGCATTTAGTGTAGCTCCTTACGAGTCTGATGCAGAAGAGTCAGACTACAATGGCCTTTGAGTAGGATATGGAAAAAAATTACTTTGAGAATATACCAATTTCTTGTCATTAAATTTCGATAAGGCCTAATTGAAGAAAACTAGAACTGTCCAAAAGGGACAAATACCCCCCGCTGGGTTTTTCAGAGAAGGTACCAAATCACTAATGTTTTCTAGATGTGAGAGGTGTTCACAATTTGCTTAAACATTTAGAGTGAAAATTTAATTACTCATTATATTTTTTTTAATGAATGAAACTAATGTGCAGCCTAATAAAACATCAATACTAATAATTACAGTGTTTTTTTATTACATTGAAAAAATAGTTTGCAGCTATCTGTCATCTTTGTGAGACATGACACTCTGCAAATTGATTGTTGAGAAAGAAAATATCATAATTAATTATACAAAGTCAAATTGATCTTAATACCTTTATATCAAACTCATTTTAACCAGAAGTCTCTGATGAGACTGTAGCTCTACTGGTCTGTATGTATAACAAAGGAAAAGTAGCACTTGGATTTGAAACTTTGCAACAATAAATAGAATTATGTATCTTAATGTAGTCTTCTTCTGTGCCAAGTTATATTGAAATCTAACAAAAACTGTAGGAGGAGTATTGTTTTGAAAGTATTTCACAGAAATTTCTATTTTAGTACCATGACAACATCATTCACTGAAATCAAAAACTGAAATACATAAAATGTATCGTAGTGTATTCTAATTGTGTGCCAAATTAGATTGAAATCAGACCAAAACTGTAGGAGGAGTAACATTTTAAAGGAATTTCACAGAAATTTCTTTTTTAGTAACCATGGCAACACCGTTTATCGAAATTAAAAACTGATGCAATAAATTATGTATCTTAGTGTAGTCTACTTGTGTGCCAAGTTACATTGAAATCAGACCAATCCTGTAGGAGTAGCGTTTTAAAGGAATTTCAGAGAAATTTCTATTTTTAGTAACCACGGCAACACCATTCATCGAAATCAAAAACTGTTGCACTAAATTATGTATCTTAGTGTAGTCTACTTGTGTACTAAGTTATATTGAAATCAGACCAAGTGTAGGAGGAGTAACATTTTAAAGGAATTTCACAGAAATTTCTATTTTTAGTAACCATGGCAACACCGTTCATCGAGATCAAAAACTGATGCACTAAACTATGTATCTTGGTGTAGTCTACTTGTGTGCCAAGTTATATTGAAATCAGACCAAAACTGTAGGAGGAGTAGCATTTTGAAAAATTGTTTACAGACAGACATGCCCTAACAGCTTCCCACACTGAACTCATTAATTAATCTTTAACTGGATGCATGTCCACTCATTACTCCAAAAGACAAATAGATTTACACTATCTGCTGTGTAATGTAAAAACTGTTTTTAATATTTTGTGATTTTTTTTTTTTAGTTCTAATGAGTAGTTTTAAGCTGTAGTTCACATTTTTGTACAGATGTTCTAGATTCTATGTCTCAAACCTTAGACATGAACCCGAAATGACTCAGTCAATAAAAATGAAAAAAAAAACCACCTGTAAAATGCAGAAAAATTATCAAATAATGTTGAAAATATCAGGTGCACATCTTCATATGGTAAATAATAAGTATACAAATTTTCATACAAATCTATGCAATAGTCTCTGGGAACAGATCCGGACAAAACCACATAATAAAAATGACAAAAATACCTGTAAAATGCCAAAAAAATTATCCAATCATGATGAAAATACCAGGTGCACACCTTCATATGGCAAATAATAAGTGTACAAATTTTCAGACAAATCCTTGCAACAGTTTCCAAGAAATGGTCCGGACAAAATCTCGTCTACAGACGGACGGACAGACAGACTCAGAGGAAACCTATAGTCCCCTCCAGTTTCACCGGTAGGGGACTAAAAAAAAACTTTAACTAAATTAATTTCTGACATAAAAAGCAAAATATGTTAGCTTTAGCAATTTTTTTTTCTTACTTAACTATACATGTAACAATGCTCTGGTTATTGCAGCAGCAAGTGTTTGACAATAAAAATCAACAGATCAAAGAGGACGTCATCAATTAACAATGTAATTTGACCTTTTCCAGAAACATATAACCTGGTATTAAGTATTTACAAGGGGAAAAAATATGCCAGGAAAATGCAAATATTAAATTCTTTAAGTGTTGAGATTATCTTTTAAAATTTAACTGGAAATAAACCAATAAAAACAAGCATTCTGAGAGTACTGCATTAGCAATACTAGTCCCCTACCGGGAAGTGTAATCTGGTTCTCGTTAAAAATTGAAAATGCCATAATTCTGTCAAAAATCAATGAAGCAGAACAAAATGCAAACTTGATCTGTAACTCATCAGGATACACTCACATACCAAAAATCAGCTCAATATCTGCAAGTGTTTAGTAAAAAAGTGCGGAAAACCAAGTGGGACAGACTGACAGACAGACAGCTAGACCGACAGACGGACGGACAGACAGACTCAGAGGAAACCTATAGTCCCCTCCAGTTTCACCGGTAGGAGACTAATAAGCTATGTACATGCGGTTTCACTGGTAGGGGACTAATAAGCTATGTACATGTAGCTTGAATTAGCTATATGTATATATAGCTTTATTAAGCTATCCAGAAGTGCTTGACTTAGCTTTATCACATTTTTTCCTTAAATGTGCTATTTTTTCAGCAAGTACAGATGCTGTACGTGATCATGGTGATAGTTTTCAACTTTGAACTCTTCTGAAAACAATGTATGCAAAAATCACTCATCAAATTGCATGTCCTTGAGAGACTGTACTCAAAGACAGTCAAAGTTCTAAAAGTTTTGGGGCTATATAAAGCAATTGATTTGTGACCAAACAGTTACCGGTACTTCTTGAGTAAAATTA